TGGGTGGGGGGGTTGGGTGAGGGTCGAGCATGAAAGATTGGATTAGCAATAAGATAAGTAGCACATAAGCTGTCACACCAGAGCTTAAGAGGTTTAGGCAAATGAACATGTAATTCTTGTAAAAGATGTTGTAACCATGTAATCTCAGCCGTAGCAACAACTAAGCCTCGGTATTCAGATTCAGTACTAGATTGTGAAACAACTCTTTGCTTCTTGGAACACCATGATACCAGATTAGACCCTAGGAAAATACAATAACCATGAGTGGATCGCCGATCATCAGGACTCCCTGCCCAGTCCGCATCAGAGAAGCCATTGACAACTAATGTCGGAGATTGTCGAAGTTGTAAACCAAGATGCATAGTCCCTTTTAAATAACGCAGCACTCGCTTCAGCGCATGAAAATGAGCAACAGTAGGAGAATGCATAAATTGACATAAATTGTTGACAGAATAAGATACATCTGGCCTAGTAATGTTGATATACTGAAGAGCTCCAACTAGGCTTCGATATAGCGCTGGATCTTCAAAAGGAGTGCTTCCATGCTTGGATAATTGCAACCCACTGACCATTGGAGTTGAAATCGGTCATGCACCATTCATATGAGCTCTCCGTAAAAGGTCTCTAACATATTTGGTTTGAGATAATACTAGACCAGTAGGAGAAGCAGTAACCTTCACACCTAAAAAATAATGCAAGTCTCCTAGATCTTTTACAGCAAAGTCAAAGGACAACTTATGAATGAGAGCATTTATGAAATCAGTAGAACTTCCTGTGACTATAAGGTCATCCACGTAAACCAACACAATAGTAATGTTGGAACCACATGAATGAATAAACAGAGAAGTATCCGACTTAGAGCTACTGAAGCCAAAGCAAAGTAATGTTGAACTAAGCTTCTCAAACCAAGCCCTAGGGGCTTGTTTGAGACCATACAACGCCTTATGTAAACGACACACATGATAAGGAAACTGCGGATCAATAAATCTAGTAGGTTGAGACATATATACCTTTTCTTGTAACTCACCATGTAAAAATACATTCTTGACGTCAAGTTGGCGAAGAGACCATCCTTTTAACAAGGTTAAAGTCAAAATAACTCTAATTGTGGTAGGTTTCACAACAGGACTAAATGTATCATGATAGTCGATGCCAGCTTTCTGATTATACCCCTTTGCTACTAGACGAGCCTTATAACTTTCAATGGACCCATCTGGATGAAGTTTGAGTTTAAAAATCCCTTTGCTACCAATAATGTTCTTTATATTGGATGCGGGTACGAGGGTCCAAGTTCCTTTTTGAATGAGAGCATTGTATTCCTCTTGCATAGCTTTCCTCCATTTTGGATCCTTATTTGCCTGGGTAAAACAAGTTGGCTCAATAGGAAGAGATGAATCTGAAAGTGGATATTTGGTGGAGAGGTTGGCTTGAGGTCTAGTCATTTTACCTTTGTTTCTTGTAATCATGTGATGATGAGCATTATTTGTGGTAGTGTACTTAGTTCTAGTGGATGTGTTAAACTTAGGAATCTGTTGAGAGGGTTGATTGTGCAAGAGTGGAGAAGGTAACTTAACTGGAAGGTTTATATTAGTTAAGGAATTTGGAGGAAGATGAGTACAAGGTTGTGTAAGGGGAGTTGGCAGGGGAAGTGTGTTGCTGGATGTAGAAGTATTGCATGAAGCAATTACGGTTAACATAGGTGAGCACACAGAAGGTGAAGGACTTGCAGTGATGACACGATTTGAAGTGACGTATGGAAAAAGAGACTCATCAAAGACAACATGACGAGTAATATAGATACGACCAGTTGGAACATGAAGACATTTATAACCTTTATGATTTGAACTATATCCTAAAAAAATACATTGAGAAGATCGAAAAATAAGCTTGTGAGAAGTGTAAGGTCGTAAATAAGGATAGCAAGCACAACCAAATACTTTCAATCTTTAGGATAGGAGTTGGCATACGATTTATGAGATAGGCTATAGTAGAGAATGCATAGTCCCAAAATTGAAGAGGAAGAGAGGCATAAGCTAGAAGAGCTAAGCCCGTTTCAACTATGTGACGATGTTTTCTTTCGGCGGAGCCATTTTGTTCATTAGTGTGAGGACAAGACATCTGATAAAGTATGCCAACTTGTTCAAAATATTTAGAGCATTTTTTATATTCTCCTCCCCAATCAGACTGGACTACCTTTATTTTACGTTCAAAGTAGTTTTCAACTTGTGATTTAAAACGTAAAAATATAGTATATACCTCACTTTTAGATGACATAGGATAAAACCAAGTATATTTGGTGCAATCATCAATAAACACAATATAATAATGAAATTTATTGCTTGCTAACAAATGAGCAGGACCCCATACATCAGAGTGAATCAGGTCTAAAGGATGGAGCGACAATGAAGTTGAAATAGGAAAAGGTTGTTTATGACTTTTGCCTTGTTGGCAGGAAGCGCAAACACCTAAAATTTTATTCATAGGAATTGCTAGATTGAGAGCATTACTAACACTTTGAATAATTTTTATTGAAGGGTGACCTAAACAACTATGCCATACATCGAGAGATGGTTTCGTCACTAGAAAAACTTGAGGTTTATTGAATGAGCGTAAATCAGATCTGCTAATGGAGAGAAGCCTGTAGAGGCCATCTTCAAGTCTCCCTTCCAATAGGACCTTCCCGTTGCCCGATCCTTCACAAGACAAAAATAAGGATGAATTTCAAAAAACACATTGTTGTCAACAGTGAATTGTGCTACACTTAATAAGCTTTTAGTAATTTCAGACACAAATAAAATATTCTTCAAATGCTGTGAGCGGGACGAAGAAAGCAACTTAGAATCACCAATATGATAGATAGGCAAACCTGTTCCATTACCAACCACAATTTGCTCATTACCACTGTAGTCTCCACGGATAGTGACATTATTGAGATCATTGGTGAGATGATTTGTAGCCCCGAAATCAGGATACCAAGCTGGGTCAGAGACCGTATTTGGTTGGGCTATAAAGGTTGCCATTTGAGTATTAGAACTTGTTTGATAAGCATGATTAAAACGATGATAACATGTTAATGTAGTGTGTCCATATTTGTTACACACTTGACATTGAGAAGATCCCGTGGGATTATGAGATTGACCATGACCCATATTATATCGACCTCGACCTCGACCTCGACCTCGTCCAAATCTTCCATTGTTATTATTTGATATAGTGTTCTTGCGGAAACCGTTCTCTTTCTTTTGACTAGTATTAGAATTTCTTATTGTCAAATTAACTTGAGCAAGACCTTGTTCTATAAGATTCAAACTCTCAAGCCTAGTTTCATGACTTAAGAGCAGTTCATGGAGATAAGCGATGGAGATAGCTTCTGCCCTAGAGGTAACTGAAACAACCAAAGCATCGTAATTCGGGCCTAGGCCACTAAGAATGTAGAGATTGAGATGGTCATCTTTGACTGGTTGTGCTGCTGCAGCAAGGTTATCCGCAATAGACTTCATTTTTGAAGGTAATCGATCATGGACAAAGAGCCTTTCTTTGTGGTCTGCAACTGAAGACGAAGTTGCATAAGTCGCGCCTTCGATTGAGATGCAAACATATTTTCTAATGTTTGCCAAACTTCCATGGATGAGGCACACCCCACAACTTGTGCCAAAACGCTTTCAGTGAGAGTCGAAATAAGCCAACTAAGGAGTAATTGGTCCTGTTTTCTCTATGCTAAGTACGCAGAATTCACAACCGATTCATGTAAATTTTCGTTGGTTAAATTATCGGGGATGGATTTTTCAGGGCACTTATATGATCCATCAACGTACCCTTCCAGGTCATGACCTCTTATCGCAGGTAAAATCTGTGACTTCCACAATACATAATTATATCTATCTAACTTGATCAAATTTGGATGTGGAAAATTGGTAGATGATGAACTACTGATTGATGAGTTGGCCATGGTCAAAGATGTTGGACCCTCATTTAGAAGTGTTCACGCTCTAGTTGAGGTCTGGGCGTGTGGGGGAGTGTTAAGATGTCCCACATCGATAGAGGGATGGAAATTTGGTCTCCTTATATGGACTTGGACAAACATCCCTTCATGAGCTAGCTTTTAGGGTTGAGTTAGGCCCAGGTGCCATATCTTTACATGGTATCAGAGCAGGGCCCGTCTCACCGGATGTTGGGGCCCCCAAAATAAAAAATTTCCCACGCACCAGATGCTAAGCACTGGGGGTGAGGTGTGGTGTTAAAGAATGACAAAAGTCTCACATCGGTGATTAATGAGTAAGGTGGACTCTTTATAAGACTTGGGCAATTCTCCTCCCTTTGAGCTAGCTTTTGGGGTGTGAGTTAGGTCTAAGACCTAATTTAACATAGTGTGTGATCATCTCATCTAAAAGTTTAAGCTGTTAGAGAGAGCACACTTTTATTATCTAATTATATTCTTAACACGCCCCCTCACGTTGCGGGCCTGATTTTTTTTATCATGGGCCAAGCACGTGGATTTTTTTTTATTTAGGCGATGGTGAGATTCGATCTCAGGACCTCTGCCTGCTCTGATACCATGAAAGAGTTTTGATTGAATTGATAATTTTATCAATGATACATCCAATATTTAAATACTAAGATAGGAGAAGGACTTAGAGTCCTAATAGAATTAAAAGAGTACTTAACTCTATCTACAATAACTATATACAAATATTTAAAATCTGTCCATCCTTATCTAAGATTAGTAGATATCCTAACAGAGGGTAGGGATAAAAAAAATGAAATTTTAAAGTTAAAAAATATTTTTAAAAAACAAACATAAAAATATTTTTAAAAAACAAACATAAATTTTTTTTTGGGAGGGGGAAGGGGTGAAAAAATAAAAATTTGAAGTTGAAAATATTTTTTAAAAACAAACTTAAAT